ACTACAACTGTTAGAATTTCTATTCATATTCTATAACACTTACTACAAATGGTTAGAATTTCTATTCATATTGTATAACACCTACTACAACTGGTTAGAATTTCTATTCATATTGTATAACACCTACTACAACTGGTTAAAATTTCTATTCATATTGTATAACATACTACAACTTGTTAGAATTTCTATTCATATTGTATAACGTACTAAAACTGGTGAGAATGTTTATTCATATTACAGAACACCTACTACAACTGGTGAGAATATCCATTACTATTAAAGAACAGCTAATAAAACCAGTTAAGAATTTCCATTGATATAACACATCAAATTTAATCAACAATACAAACAGTTAATAATAACTAGCTTTGTAGTGCAAGAAATATCAAGTTTTTAGAAATGCTGTTTGCATAATATGGTTAAAAACTTTGAAGTGGAGAACGTTTCCAGTTTTTATTTTGATACAATAAAACTGCTGAGCTGATAGTGATAGATTTTGTGGTCTGTGCATACTCACTACCATCCTAAAATTCATTATTAACTAAAACATGGATTTTTTTTTTAAATTTCAAAAAAGGAGTATTCAAATTATAACCAATAAAAAAATGAAAGGATAATATTTAGATATTAAACCTAAAGCCATATATCATTAAAAAGAACCCCTCTTTCTACACTGTTATTAATAAAAATGTACCAACTTAAAGGTATTTGTCTACAAACTGTAAATAAAATAATAGTTTGGTTAGGATAGAAGCATTATACTCCTGTCCATTATGTTCTTCCTATACCCTTCATGAATGTATGGCTAACTATCAAAAGTAGGAGTTTTTTCATAATACTGGAAGAGAGGTGGAAGTATCTTATTGAAACAAATAAAGCCATCAAACAAGGAAAATATTTAAATGGTTTACACTTATGGTGTTTTTAAGGATTCTTCTTCCTTGGGTAGCTGAGGATGTAATGTTAAACAATATCAAAGTTCACAGTACTATTACAAAACATGACTTTCTTCTGAATAAAACTTATATGTTTAGGCAGTACACAAATATATTAAAGATCAACCACAGATATTGTATTACATGTTTAATCCATACTAAAAACAATCACCCATACCATGCAGGAACATATATCACAGGCTTGTTTCCATGAGGCACCATCAGGATGTACAGATCCATTAATATGACAACTTTTGCGACATTCACATTCTTCCACTACAGTGAGACGATTCTCTGCCTCCACTAACTAGATGGGACATGAAAGTACAATTTTAGGTAAATTCATAATTTATCAGAATACCACTTGTAAACACGCTGACTGAAAGATCTCCATTTTCTAGTATAATTAGCTGAATCTATTCTATATTCAGCATTTTTAATACATAACTTAGTCTTTTGGAATGTAGGTGAGCAGATTAGTTTTTGTTTTAACAATTAAGTTGATGTTAAAAAAAGAGAAACAGAGTCTTCAGTTGGGAGCTGAAGCATAAATTCACTAATATTCCCTTGGATGAAACTATTAACATTGCCCTTTCTAAGCTCTTTGCAAAACACATTCTTCTCAATGGACTATCAGAATCTGATGTTAAATCTATGCCTAAGATGATGTCTGGACTTACTGGTAACTTATATGGCTAAAACATCATATAAAAAATAAGCTCAAAGTTATTCAAGATGAAAATAAAAGAAAATGTCAATTACTCTGTTTGTCAACTCCCTGAGGTGATTCTCCAAGTGAACCACTGATAACTGGAGTTGATGAAACTGCCCACATGTTGGACATTCTGTTAAAAGAAACAAAAATCACATCTGAATAAATAACACTAGCATAGTAGTAAATTAATACAGTGCTTAATTTTTTCATTAAATATAATTAGATTAAAAGCACAATTGGACAAATGTTTACAACTAGCATGTTGCCATATTTGTGAAACAAAGTACTAACTTATAAGATATGAATAAACAATCTTAACAGTGAATACATTGCTGAAATTTTATGAGTAAAAACACAGCAAATGTAAATTAAATGTTTGTGAGTGTGAGATAATCAGTTACCCAGATATAGAAGGAAGTGGAATAAAATTAACAGCACATTTACAAACCTGTATTCAAATGGGGACACTGCTGGATATACCCATGGGATCTTCCAATTATTTTGACATCCTGTAAATATCCCTAAACAAATATCAATATAAACTTAGTACATCCCTTTGAAGTAAAGTAATGTCAATCAAGTGATCTATTCAATAGAAAAATACAGTTTTTTAATATAACAAACAGCTTGATATTGAAAGACCAAGCTAAAATCTTACTTAGCTTTTTTTTAATTGCTTGAATAAAATCTGAAAGTTAAATCATGTAACTGAATGAATTATCATTATTATGTTTCTCATGCACCTTTAGTCTAAACGGAAAAAAACATCTACCAAAATTGTTGGTAACTGTGTACTAAGTGAAATGCTTAAAAGTCCAGCCATCTCACAAAAAATTAGACGGAAATAAAAAAGTAAGAGGTTTATAAGTTATGGGACATCTAGAGGCTTCTAGGCCTCTTAAGGATGTTCCAACTCCCAACATTTCTTAACTAACAGAAAACTAATAACTAAACCCAATCCTAATACCCCAAGTATCCATCAGCCCTTTTCTTAAACTCCTGTAAAGTTGCAACTAGCATCTACCATTATAAATGGCAATTTATGTATTTACCTCCTTATTACTGAAGTTATAAGCAAAGTGATCATAATGTAATTAAATAGAATTCATTTTTGAATGTAATCTTCAGATAATCAAATGGCACATTAATAAAATATACGAGTAGTTTAACGCTTTACTTACTTAATCCATTCTTGTATCAAAGGTTAAATGTGAGATTCTCTCTCTCATTTTTTGGTAGGATAATAAATGGCAACAAGGACTGGAGAGTTGTTAATGTTACTTCCTTTTTAAAGGGTTTTACAAGATTGTTGTCATATGATTAGTAAAATATATTATTACTAAAGTCTAATTATTAATTAGTAACTTTTTTATTATACATAATTAGATACTAATACTGACTAGTTTTACCATAAGTTTCAGCTGCTAATCTGCTGCCATTTTCAGAAAAGTTTTGATAAGATCTATTTCTGAGATGGTAATGGTCAGGATTCAATCCTAGGTATTCTTGATGAACACTACCAACATAGAAATAGTCCTTCTCAGAATTTCCCTAAAGACAGTGGCAAATTAGCAACCAAAACATTGGATAAGACTAGTTAGTAATGACAGGCAGATTCATTAGTATTGAGGCCCCAAGCTCTAATAGATTTGAATCTTTGGCTATTTGTAAGGAGGAATAAGAAAATCATGAGATTTACACAGTGGGGGGACTTTCTCATTAAGCATACTCATAGTTATTTGTAGTGGAGAAAGTAGAAAGACTAGAACTATAACTTGCTTGACAGGTGTTCAAGTACAGGACAATATAGAGCATGTTGACAGCTTAGTTGTTGCTTCTTAGAAACACTCTCTTTTTTTTTTGTTGTGCATGTAGGAGTGAATAATGTTGCAAACTGTTACTCAGAAGAGCGGCTTAAAAAATATGAAAAACTCCTTCAGAAGTTTACAGTTAGAAATAGATAAGCAGCCCTTCAGAAAACATTCCCACAGGTTTGTTTCCAGAATGAATTACTCAGCAGGATCCAAGACTCAAATGAAAGATTATCAAATATATGGTTAGATCAACAGGTAGAGTTAGGCCTGTGGGATAGTTTTCATGATAAGTATGAAATGTATGCTAGAGATGAACTCCACATTAGGCAGTAGGATATTTCGAAAAGCTCTAAATATATTCATTAAAGATTATTTAAACTAAACTTGCATAATGGCAAGAGAGCTTGGAAAATTGGAAACAAACAAATTGTTAAGATAGCTAGTGCAACAAAAAGATTAAAAATAGATTTACAGCCTAATAAGTTTAATAATTGTTTTAACGATAAATCTCTTAGATTTAAAGATAAATACAGCAGATTCAAGAATAAGCTGTTATTCTAATGTGAGGAGTATGAGGAGCAAAATAGATGAGTTCAGGGCAAAATCTGAAATGGAAGACTATATTATCATAAGAATTATTGAAACTTGATTAGGCTTAGAGAATATTGACAAAAGAAATTATTT